GAGCATAGAGCATAGAGCATAGAGCATAGAGCATAGAGCATAGAGCATAGAGCATAGAGCATGGAGCATAGAGCATAGAGCATAGAGCATAGAGCATAGAGCATAGATTATAAAGAGAGTGAGAATGAATATAAATAATTGTATAAATCTCTTACACCATTCGAGGAATAGAGTGAGAAGAGAAAGCATGATCCTCTCTTACAATCGTTTCAGATTTCCATGATCAGAGGCATACAGCTAAAGAGAATGCTACATGGAGTAACTTCTTCCTCTTAATTTACTTCACTTTACTTTTTGCTGTTATTCTATACCTCTCAGCCTATCATTCTTGCTCAGTCCTTAAGAATAATTTCGCGTTTAGCAAATCACAACTCTTATAGTCAGCTATATCCCACCCTATTATATTCTGCTTAGTACAGGGTATAGCTCTGCTATCGCCGTGCGCTAATCGTAGGTTTTTTTTCGCCGAAAACCAATTGCAAATGGTCATTAGAATAAAAGCAGTTCAGCTTGAGCTCGTTTTTGGTCTTTGAGTTGAATCGGAAGCCGCGTATCAATGCCATAAATAATACTTCAAATTGCATGGGGCGTTTAAGCATTGACAATTTGGCCGTGTGGGGTGCCTCATACTAATTTAGCTGCGTGCTGGGTTAATAATGATATACCAATTGATACGCTCTTGGGACCGTCCAAATTATTCAAAAGTCCAAATGCCAAACGATCGGGCGAGCACAACAACGAGTCGGCCAAGTCTCTGGCCAATTGTTTGTGGCCAGATGATCAGTGGACCATTGCCACCAGACGCGACTGCCAGCGAAAAGGAAAAAGCAAAAAGCAAAAACAACAAAAACAATTTATGCAGCGAAATGCAACAATAAATCTCATTTTATGCAGCGCAGAGAGAACGGCCCTTTTATAGGTAACGCTAATGTAGCCCAAAATTGAACTTGACATTTGAATGCCCAATTAACCGTGACGTGTGCGCGAGCAGCACGTCCAGATGCCCAGCCTCCGGCTCATCCCCAGCTTCTGCCTCTGCCTGCTCTCTAGCTGGACAGTTGGAGGAGCAGCAGCTCGCCATTTGAGGTCAAGTTTTTTGGGCATTCCAATGCGTTATGTTTTATTGGAGCAATATAGCAATGCATTGTGCCGGATGTATACATATATACATATATTTCTTCATATCTATATATATATATAGCTCCCCAATCAGCTTTGGCTGCTAATTAACCCACTTTCTAAGAGCGCGCGACCTTTTTTATCTGCGCCATTCGAATCAGGGGCCCCAGCCATGTGCAAAATTTGCCTGCCATTAAAGAGAAGGAGAAGGAGAAAATTTGCTCAATGGACATTAGATATACGGGACACTGGACAGTGGACTGTGGACATTGGCCAGCTTGGTCTGCATGCGATTCTCACGCATGCCAAATGCGCAATGTGGCTATTGCATGCGCGTCGCTGGCTGGTCGTTGTCTTCCTCCTTTGGCATCGTCTATAAAATCACGATAAATATTTATACCGCACTTAGATTTATGGTGATTCATATCGCTCCAGCAGAAGTCAACGGCCAATGGGCATCGGCGGGGTGGCGGCGGCAGCATGGGCCATAAACATTTTTATTAGCCATAATTGCACAATCGAATCCAAGCGACTGATTCATTTGCGTGCATTGGCCAAAAGCGTCAAATCGCCAGATATGAATTTGTTTATTAAGTGCCTGCCAAACTTGTTGCATTGCATTTGTCAGCAATCTGGACGGGTCACAAGATTTCGTTATCTAGACTAGCCTTGACACGCCACACACCATCGATAAACGGCCCTAACGGTCTTTATTTCCTCTCATTTTTGTTTGCTTGTGGCCAATAGCGGTAATCGTAAATGGCCAGAAAACTATTTTGCCAGCACATAAAATGCAACATTTAAATTAATAGAATTATGTTCGCTAATTTTGTTTAATAGCTCAACTAGCGAACAAGTCCCGGGGCCTCACGATCACCTCACGATATATGCATATATATATATATATACATATTTATATATATTTATACAAATTCATTTGACTATAAAGCATTGATATATTGCCCAAAGCAGGATAGCTTTTTATTGTTTTTTTAAATGTCAAAGCACTTTACAAAATGCATATATTTGCATTTCAAATTAAATGTATAGAAAATGACATTAGATAACGGTGTAAACCTATTCCTATCAAAGAAGAAAACGCTGAGTGGGCTGAGCTATGCTTGCAATGTTCACGGGAATGCTAGAATTAAGAGGATCATATCTAGCATATCTATAAACATATATTGTAATTGCAAATCAATTGGTCTTCTACTTACAGAGATCGTTGGGTTTGTATGTAGACTTATCTTCTTGCTAGGTAAACATTGCTATCTATATAAGCTGGTGACTTGTAATATGGTGTATTTATACAATATATGTACAATATATACAATATATGTACAATATTACAATGTATATGCAATATATATAATTGCATTACGAAGATTAAAACATAGAACTTATATGTATTGTATATATCTCTGCTGATTGATAGTATGGTAAATCGTGTAATTTTTTATCTTTCGTCGTATTAAATAAATAATGAGCATTTATGCTGTTAACTTAAACAGTGATCTGCTCTATATAATGCCTAACATGATCCTCACTTTCCGAGATCTCCTCTTCAGATAGATCTATAACTGATATAAATGATATGCTCATAAAGTAATCTAGGTTTTCGAGCAGCCCTAGTGTCCCACTGCTGCTCTACTTGGTTATTCCTATATATTCCATATTCCTATTTCGAATATTTTTAAATGCTAGATTATTTCCTTCACTTTGTCGCTCTTATTGTTTTTCCTTAACAAACGAATTTTAGATAAATTTGATTTCTAATTTATTTTATTTTTTATTTTTATTTTTTTTTGTCAGAATTTATTTGTTTTTTTTTTGTCAGCACTTTTGTGCAGCCTTCAAATGACGTTGGCTATAAATATAAATAAACGCCTGATCAATGACACATTGGCAACCGTAAACTGTGATAATGTATTTGACTGTATAATTGGGCTTGGTGGTGGCCCCCGGCCATGGGAGCGTTTGGGGCCCTGTCAGGCGCGTAAGTGGCGCTAAGTGTTTTCTCTTGTTACTTACAAATGCAAATTGTCGAATGACAAAATTCATTTCAATTGCTGCAATTTATTGCATGCGCAGTCGCAGCTCGGCCGTGCTTCCTTTTGACCCAGTTTGTGTGAGCGCGCGCTGCACTAATACCAGGCATCCTCCTTCAATGGCCAAACTAGTTTCAAGTTATTTAACGCATGCATTGCGTGTGTCAGCAGCCAGCATGAGAGAGAGAGAGAGACAGAGAGTGAGCGATATTCATATATGCATGTATGTTTGTATTGCTGGCCTTGATCTAGAATTTCGATTTTTCCGATGCTTGCGATTTCGTTTGCGTTATGCGAGACGAGCATGTCCCCATGCTCAGGCGTCTGTACGACGCGGCGTATGCGCGATGGCATCTGATCTTCACTCGTTCGACGTTGCGTAATCTCGTTTTGTGTACTAAGTACCGGTTTAAACGCACACTGGACCAGTTCACAATATATACATACATATATTTCGACTCATATGCATCTAAGTATGCAGCAGAGCCAATCGAAGACCAGACTCCGCTTGCGTTGAGTTTGTTTCTGCACTTATAATTTATTGAGAAATTTAATTGAATTCGCTTGGCCAACCGGTCGCATAATTTTGGCCCCTGATTACGGATTGAGCAATTCGCATGACGTGTTAAACATTTGGCATTTGATCGTTCTATATATCTTTTGCAAAACAATTGGTTCTATCTTTGAGTTTGATGGAAAAACAGTTGTTAGTTCGTCACGTTCCGCACTATATAAAGGCAAGTTGATTAATATTTCTAGTTCAGTTCATTCTCTGCATTAAGCTGCCCTACATAATGAGGTGTTTGATTGCCTTGGTTTTGTTTTTGCTGCTGGCTGACTTGGCTTTGGGCCAGGACTACGATGATGCTCTGAATCATAGCTATAATTTTAAAGCACGAAAGAGGCATTTCGAAAAAATCAATAAAGGTTCCTGACATAAAGAAAACTTGGATGTCATTTGCGTTAACCTTTTGTCTCTTGCAGCCATTTGCTACTCGAAGCCAGACTATGGCAAATGCAAAGGAACTCGACGGCTCTGGTTCTTCAATAAGTACAAGACCAAGTGCGAGAAGTTCACATACTCGAATTGCGGCGGAAATCAAAATCGTTTCTATACCAAAGAAGAGTGCGATATATTTTGTACTGAAAAGTCCAGGGATTGGCTGAGAGAGGATGCCGCCCATGTGGGCTGATTTCCATTTCTCATAATAAGCCCAAAGAATATTCACTTTTGCTAACTAATTACTATACTATACTATATCAATTATCAGAGATTTGCAGAAGTTGATCTGTAATGTTCGATTTTTAAAGGGAAGAAGTTCAGAGAGCTTAACAATCATTTAGTAGGGAATTCGAACTCAAATATATAATTGAAATTATATAATCTGTTAATCAGTCATGAGTTGTGGAGAAACCACATTCGAGTGCATATTTGTAAACCCAATTAAGAAAACACATTTTCATTTCGAGCTGGGGATATATAAAGCAGCCTCGCATAGGCATAAATCATGCAGTATTCTCGTAATCTTCAGTGGATGAAAAATGAAAATCATATTCCATTTGTTTGCTCTGCTGATGATGGCAGCGTCTAATCCTCCACAAACAGCACTAAATAGGGTAGCAGCACATAGGAAACGTAACTACCGTATTTTAAAATAGTTTTCTTCACAGATCATATGAAAGTCATTTTGTTATTTACGCAGATATTTGCTCAGCGAAGCCGCAATATGGAAGTTGCTTTGGACATCGGCGTCTCTGGTATTACAATCCCTCTCGCAGGCGCTGTCTAACGTTTGTTCACTCCAACTGTGGCGGCAATAGCAATAAATTCGCCACTGAAGAGCAGTGCGTCAACTATTGCATGCACATATTGCCAAACTAGAAGACAAGGGAGGAGGGACATAATAATGGGAATAATTATGAAATATATATGAGAGAAAGTTTAAATAATATTGAAAGTGGAAATCAGAGTGAAATCGAAGTAAAATAGGGCTTTGTATGCAACCGACTTTGTTGAAAATTTGATTAAAAATCATTGAAATTAAAATATGCAAATATCTTTAATCCAATCCTAGGGGTAGGTAAAGTATTTTCTCTATTTTTAAGATAATTGAGTTTGCTTTCGTAGCTAAGAGAGCTGCTGAAAAGTTTTTAGGAAAAATGAAGAATAATTCCATTTGCAAATGAAATTAATCATTGATAATTAATATACGAATTTTAATGCCTTCAGAGTTAAAAAATGATATATTTGTTAGAATTAGCACCAAGCTATGTTGACAGTGTGATTAACTAAATGTTAGGCGTACTAAAAATTATTATACAGAATTCTTATATAGAATTTCTATATATAGTTTTCTTAGCTTGCAATAAAATCGTAAATAGAAAATAGAAATATATGCAGTCTTCACAGTCCCCAACTCAAAGCAACCAACGCTGTCAAGTGACTAAAAATGTTTTTTGCTTGAAGCATTTGGCGCATTTGTTGCGGCAACTAAATACGAATCGCTAGCGTTTCCAGGCACTCGCCAGAAGCGCGTTTCACTGACAAACGGCGATTTTTGGTACAATTTTTAGCAGGCGCGCAGCAGTGGGCAACAGACGTAAAACAGCTGCAGAGTGCTTTGCTAATTTACGGCTGCTTTAAATAGGCGGCAAGTGTATATACACACGCGCGCACACACAGACGCTCGGAGGCACAGAGACACACCAACACACGCGCATATGCGTGTAAGTGAGCAAGGGCTGGGCAAACATTGCGCTGCTTGCTCGCATTCGGAACAGGCGAACAGCTTTCGCAGCAGCGAGCGCTTTTTGCATTTGTGTTTGGGCTTTTTGTTTTGTTTGAGTGCTGTCGTTGTTGTTGTTTGTTTTTATTGCTGTTGCTGCTGTTCTCGCTGTCACAGCGAAAGCTCGTACGAAAGTTTTGCGTGCATGCTCATACTTATACACAAGTAAATGTGTGTGTGTGTGTGTATGTTTATACACATATACACATGTATATATGCAAGCTTATATCTGTTTTCCATTGAATGGCAACAATGGCAATGGCGAAATCGAAGCATAAAGTCACGCAATTTCAATTACAAATAAACGCATAAGCAATGCCAAAGCCAAAGCCAAAGCCGAAGCCGCAGCCAAATGCCAGGCTGGCTGGCAAATTTTCTATGGCCAATAATAATGCTTGTAATAATGAAATTGTGATAAGCTGTGCGCCACAAATTGCACGCTAGCAAACGACGCAAGAGACGCGAAATAATTTAAACCGTTAAGCGCTGGCTGCGGCGGCATCAAGCGTCGTCATTCTGGCTAGTATCATCACAGGCCCCCCTCTCTTCCTCTCTCCCCCTCTCGTTTCCAGCTCTCTCGTTCCCACTCGCTATCGTGTTGCTTGGCAACATTTGACGCACGCCGGCAACATATTGCTGGCAACATTAGCGCGTGTGTGCGTGTGCCAGGGAATCACTGGCTGCAAGCTGGAGCTGAAGTTGGAGTTGGACTTGGAGTCGTTGTCGGGGCAATCGCTCTGCGCTTTGGTGTTTGCCAATTAATATTCGTATGATCAAATGCTTAACGCATTTAGCCTTACAGAAAGAGCGAAAATAAACTAAAAAACCAACAACAAACCGGCTCACGTCCAACCTGTGTAAATGATCTACGTTCTCTGACGCACAGATGCGGCGAATTGATGCTGCCAAGCTGCAATCGTTTAAGCCGCGGCCTGTGGGAAAGTGCGCCTTAATTGAATTTAAGGCCGGCCAGGTTAGGCCAGGCCACTCCACATGGCAAATACAATAAATTAAATGATAAACAGACTGTGCACTCATTTAATTACATACATACATTATTATGCATTTATTTAGTATGAATTTGTTGTATAAGGTTTGCCTTTAGTTGTACATATGGATTTATGCATGCATGCTGGCTGGCTAGCATGCATGTGCGTATTTGCTCAATATTTCAATAATGTTTTTCCTTTTCGTATGTTTGTTTGGTAAACTTGTTTATGCAATTTGACGAAGACAAATCAGGTTTACAGGTATTTTTTATTATTTTATTTTTATTTATTTTTTCGGTAAACATGTTATTATTTTTTGTATTTTTTTTTCTGCTATATATTTTTTATGCATAGATCGCTATTAAATTTCATTAGTTATGCACTAGGCTGTATGTGTGTATTTGTTTGTATATAGTTCTTCGATTTGGATGTAGTTTATATATGTATGTATATAGGTGCAAATGCACATTAATTATAGTAGACTTTTTCACATGATTTAATGATTTAATGATTTAATGGATAGGTACTTCTTATGAGCATTCTTGTACCATACAGCAGGCTAACATTTAAAGCATTGCACACATCGAGAGAGATAGAGACATGAAATGTATATTATTATAAAATAAAAATTAACTAAAAATTTTGTGTTTAACAAATGATAACAACAAGGCTTTGCCTTAAATTAATTTCAAATAAAATCAAAGACTAGTTTAAAAATATGCATATTTTTTCAAAGTTTAAAAATAACAAATGAAAACAAATGCCTCACAAATATTCAAATGTAATTTTCATTTGCTTCAATTTGAATTTATTTATTTATTTATTTTTTTCATTTAATTTTGTTGTATTTTTTAAGCTAATTTGCTTATAACTTGTATGCGTTGTATTTCATTTTGATTAGAGTTTTGTGAATTGATTTAAAATTATATAACAACGCGCAGTGTCTCATGGGATTAGTTTATGTATATATATATATGTATATATATGTTTATATATTTATCGCTTGTATATAGCCAATTTGTATTTTGTTTAATGTATTTTTTTTGGATATGAATTTTTCATTGCTTTTTTAAGCAGTTCGCTGTGTCAATTGTCTTACAGCTTTTAACATCAATAAAATTGTTTATGTGCCAATAGTATGTTAATAAATTTATACTTTATACTCGTTTCATGGATTAGATAAATAGCTAAAAATTTGCTAAAACTTGAATACACATACGTTTAGTATTTAATGTATGTGTGTGTGTGTATATATAGTTAAATGCAATTGCCTTTTTTTATAGATACGTAAAAAGTTGTAAATGCATTTTTGTTTTTGTTGATATTCATGAATATTGTGCGTTCGATTCTCAAATAGTTTAGCTTGAATAAAGCTGGATTCTTTCTGGAGTATCCAAACATATGTATGTGTGTGTATTTATATATATTGCATAAAAAATTGTTTGTGCCTTTTGTAAAAAGTCTTTCTGTTGTTCTCTGCGCAAGGACTAGTTTCAATTCTGATTGGAAAAATTCCAACTAAAGCTTGAACAACGCTCCATAGTTGGTCAGGCAAAATAGTTTGGCGCACAGGCTGCGACTGCGACTGTGAGTGCGATTCGTGTGGTTGGCCATAGACTGAGTGGTTTTACGGGCGATGGCCAGCTCCTGGCTCTATTTGCTGCCACCGCCACCGCCACCGCAGTACTCGCCCTGCAGCATGCCATTGTCCAGGAGCAGCGACGGCGTCGTCGCAATGCCATCGCGCAGCGCCAGCTGATAGGCCACCTCGAAGGCCTGGCCCAGCGTCAGTATGATCTCGCTGGCCAGATCCTATAAAGAAAACACAATAGTACATTTATCATAAGAATATAGATACTTTATCCTGCGGAGTTCTTACTGTGCTCTGCACTAGAAACACATGGCAATAGTGCATGTCCTGCTCCTTGGTGATGTAGGCAAAGTGCCGCAGATCCTCCGAGTCCTGGCAGGCGCAATTGATGTTCTGTATCTCATGCTCGCAGATGACACGCTATAAGCATCAATTGGATTAGTACGTAGCTCTTCTATTCACCATTCCCCCACACCTACCCTGCTGGACACGTCTATGAACTCCACGCCCCTGTGGCAAATGGCCAGGGACAGCGGCGCCCCCTGTTTGTGCACCTCTTTGTTCGCCTGATCCCCGGAGGCCTTCAGCTTCTGTATTGATTTCTTTGTGGACTCCGTGCCACGCAGTTCTTTCACAACCGTTGAGCCTAGGTACTGGGGAGAGCATAGAATAGTGGAAATTAGTATGAAATGAAATAATTCAATCGGCTGTTATCGACTAGGGAATACTCGTTCGGTGTTCTATTAAAGTGGATATGTTCTAAAGTCTTAGAAATAAAAAATCTAAGTGTAAAATCAACAGAATGTTAACCTAGAAAAGTGTAGTCTTTCATA